AAGATCCGCGTGCCTCAACAGGCTGTGAGTGTGTGAGTGAGTGACCATAAGCCAAACCTGGGAGCAGCATGTGTAACAGGCTAAGTGTAAAACAGAACAACCAGGATGAAAGCCAAATTCTTGCTCTGCCAGAATATTTTCAGACTCCATCTAAACCACTAATCAATCATACAACTAATCTGGCACACAACTTGCTGACTACAGTCAGCAGGCTGATAGGTCTATAGTTCTGAGGCAACTTCCCTCAACCTTCTTAAATAGAGGTATTATTATTGCCATTTCCCAATATTTGAGGATACATACAGTGTGGTCAATAAAAGAGAAAAAAGAAGATAGAATTGGGGCCCACCATTCCATGTTGTTCCTGATTACTTCTGTTGTTATGTGATTGTACCTGGGGGCTTTACCAGGCTTCAGCTGCTTTACCAGCAAATCTATTTCCATACAGATTGCTGGTGGCCACTGGGGTATGTGTGTGCGTGCGTGTCCATGTCCAGAGTTAACATAGGAATGACTTCTTTGCCCCTTTTGCATAGTGCCTAATAGTACACCTCCCATTTTGCTGCAAGTTGAGGCAATCAAATTGAGATGATTTTTGGAGTGAGTGAGATACAACAGCGCTACAGAAAGGTGCTGAATTTTTAGCTGAGATGCAGTAATCAGTTGTTGCCCGGCCATCCTTATAGCTTGCCTCACTTGTGAGCAGTTCTTTGTTTCATTTTTGATACATAAGATTCTGCGGAGGAACGGATGAGGGGTGGTCTCAGTACACTTGATATGCATTAATAAGAGCTCTTTCGGCATTTATACACTCTATATCAAACCAGGTCTTTGAACGACAGACCATCTTGAGTTTTCTGTAGATTCCTGGCAATTAAGGTAGGTTGCAGTATTTGCACTATTTTGTTATAAAGATCCAAGGTGCTGCTACAAGTTTCAGAAAATAACAGAGTGTAAATGAAGAAGTGATTTTGAGTTAACCACAGCAACAAATTGCTTCTGTTTTTTGAGACCATCTTGCACAAGAATGCTGAACCTCCAGCACTGAATTTGGGAAGTTTTTTTTTTTTTCTCCCTAGGAAAAAGAGATTTCTTGAAAAAAAACCAGGTGCAGTTCACCAGGAAGAGGGTCACTGTCAGGGTGACTGGCAATTTTAAATCTGACTAAGTTAACTGGTCTGATAGTCAACTATGACTCCTTCAGCTGAAGATCCAAAATTTGGAGTATTTATTTATTTAGCAGTATTTATAGGTTGCCCCAAACCGTACACTCTGGGCAGCATACAATAGTTCAAAATATAATGCAATTAAAAAAGAATTAGAATAATAACAACACTCAACTAGGATGGTCACCCAAATGAAGCTATAACCCTAAAGCCCACTCATTTGCAAGGACGATAGTTGTGGTATTTGCCACTTGGGTATTTAAAGATAAAATGCTGGGCATCTAAACATTTAAACAAATTACCCCCAAGTCCTTCTCCCAACTTTAGAATAATTGAAAGACAGAGCCATTTTGTTCCTGAAGCAAGGTGAGGTTCTTGCTTCTGGCAACCTACCTCACAATATAGTTGTTTGTGGGGAAAACTGGAAGAGGGAGTGCTATGAATGGCACCTTGAGCTCCTGAAGAAAAGGCAGGATATACTTTGAATAATTACAAGAATAAATAAACAAGAAACAGATTGGCTTGCATTACACCATTGGTCTGCCTATCAACTTCCCATCTGGTTTACATCAGTGCCGAGCTGCTTTTCCATTCTCACATCACTGCTTCCCTATTGCAACCCCCTTTCCCTGCCTGTTTCTCTGAAATCAGTTTCTGCTATGACATTTGTTGCAGCAGAAAGCTAGATAGCAGGGGTCTTGAGGAGCTTAGCCTTAAAATGTAAAGAAAATGTGAAGTATCTGTCCCTCTGATAGCCAAGCAGCATTGATTTAGGCCATGTCTGGGGCCATGCTGCTTGCAACACCATGTTCTAACACAGCGGGGGGCAACTCTAGGGTGTAGGTGGTCTCCAAAGGTTTCACTCTGTGCCCTCAGAAACCCTTTGTAAATTACTTTTCCTTCATCCCAGTCTGATCTGTCTGGTCCACAGTTTGCAGCAACTGAATTTGGCTGGCAAGCTGCAATTACGTGGCATGAGAAAAACATTAAACTGAAGCCCCAAAAGATTTAAATGATCAGCCACCAAAAGAAATGCTCTATTTATAAGAGACTATCTTTGGTTCCTGCCTCTTTCGAGACAACATGGTAAGCTACCAATACAGCTGTCCAGGAGCCAGCAGACTGAAAGGATGGGTGATGACGACGATGATGATGGCCATGAGTGATATTGGCAATTGTGATGAAACTAATGATGGTAATAGTACTGGTGCCTAATTATAATTATACTGAGGGATAACAGTTCCAGTTATAATAATGAAAAAGATAGCAATGATAATTTTTATCCATTCCAGTTTTGGCCTTGTACATGTTTTCATCTGGCCCTAGCCAATTCTGGGACTTCTGGCACAAATCTGAACATTGACTATGAACCCCAGTCCCCAAAATATTGTGCAGCCCTGCTCTGAGGCACTGGTGCCCAAGATTTCCCACGTCATCCCTAGAGACTGACAGAAGAGGTGGTGGTAGTTTCTTCCATATTAGACAATACATCTTAAATCAACTCTGGAAAGGAGACAGTCACTTCTGCTGGACAATAGTCACACGTCTTCAGTACTAAAATTGTGAAAAGGGCTGTTTGTCACATTCTCCAGTGGGGAGAAACAAAACACTTCTCCTATGGCAATGAAAATGTAGGAACCTGCTTTAGCAATATATAGCCCAGCAGGGAAAGGTTTAAAAAAATAGACAACTATCTGTGTCTATATTTATACACACACACAATCTGAATTCCTTTTCCTGGCTGATAGGAGCTCGGAAGAGAATTACTAAAGGCTAGAGCCATATAGAAATTGCAGTTATCCAATTTTAAATATTTAAATAGTTTTAATATAAAAGCTTTAAATTTAAATCATTCAATTTATGATGTTTATATTTCTTCTAAAGATTTCCTAAGTTGCTTAAGACACAGTCTTCATAAATAAGTACTTGAAATAACAAGATTTAAAAAAAAAAAACTGAATAAGTACATACTAGTAAAGGCCCATTATAAATTCCTTCCATGGAGGTAAGAAATTATGGCCACCACCAACTCCATTTGTCTAAAAGAGGTGATGAATTGTCAGTACACTAATGGAAAGTTAATAATACATTTTGAGTTTGTGCAAAGCTCTAATACAGAATTCAGAAGCTTGATTTCACTAGGAGAGGAACAACGGCAAGCTATCTTCTGCTGTTGCTTGCCTTAAAAACTGAATTTGTTCCTTTCCACTTGATTTACTGTTAGCACATAAGCTGGTAGTAACTCAATTTAGAGATAATGCTTCCCTTCCATACAGTTTTCTGACAAATTCAAGTATATTTAACCTTCCTACCAAACAAACCAACATTCTTTATTGTCCCTATCCAAAGTACTTAAACATATATGAAGATGCATATTCCTAGAACTAGCTTTCTAATATTCATTCAATTGACTAGCTCTAATTTATTTAAAGCAAATTCAAGTTTTCTCAACTCTTTTATTTTAATTAATGAAATTCTTCCAAAAGATTACTCCAGTTCTAGCCAAACAGGATAGATGCACCTGACTGAATTACTCAAGTTCAGATGTTGTAAAATATTAAGTAAAATATAACTCAGTACTATTATATCTATTCAATATTTTGCCAAGCAAAGCAAATCATACATAGTGCCTAAATAATAATAATTTTTGCTCACCAAGAATTTCAATGAAGCAACTGATTTCTAATACCACCACCATCGCCACCTACTTGTTTAACAATTTTTGTTGCTTCTGTGTTTCTCCGGTAAAATATATATTTATATTCATCCATCCAAACTTCTGCAAGGCGAACTTGATTACGTGTAATCACTTGAGTCCCTTTCGGAAAGGTATGGGGGCTCTTGCTTCGAAACACATGGCCAACAACTGAGCAAGGTATAATTTCCAACTGCCCCCCACACTGCCACACCTGAAAAATAAGAGCTGCGTTAGGCTACCTTCAGTAAAACCATCAGTAGCTGCTGTCAGGCCAGAGTGCTACAGGAACACATCTGTACTGAAAAGATATAATTTAAAGTGTTGTATTTCCACATACATAATAATAAAACAAAGTAGTTATTTAAGATGAATAAAGCAAGAATTAATAAATAATGTGCTGACCAAGCTATGGATACCACTCCTACAATCTAGACGGCATTTTACCTTTCAAGGCCATCAATTCCACAAGGCTAAGTTAACTTATCTGCCCTGTCTGCAGGGTGGAGCTAAAACGTTTAAGAAGTTTTATCCCAGTATAGTCAGTCACTTTGCCAATAAAAGACACGTGAATATTCTATTAACTTACTCGGAAAGACATTTCTATGTTTTCTCCTCCCCATATTTCCATTTCTTCATCATAGCTTCCAATTCTATAAAAATAGTCCTTTGAAATTGAAAAAAGACCTCCTGCAAAAGTTGGTGATCTGCCAGAGGGAGGGGGGGGGGGAAGAGGAAGAGAGAGAGAGAGAGAGAGATTGATTGATTTATGAAGCCAGGAACTTCTCCATCTGACTGGAACATTTTATTGGTTCTTTTATATAAGACCCTAAACCTTATCCTTCTTCAGGTAAATCTGATCAACTGAACAGCACTAAGGAGATACATGCAGTATTACAAAAGCAGACAACCTCTCATACAATGAAATGTCTAATTCTGTTCTTTTGCTTATCATATCCCAGCTTCTTGAAGAAAATTTGGAGCGAATGTGAAAGAACAGTGGGATTTATTCTATCTATCAGAACAATATGTCAGTAAAATGACACCACTAAATTTAATTCTATATCAGAGTCAGCAAAAGCAACATATCTACAGCAGTGGAACATGCATTTATGAAAATGACTGCTGTATGAACTTATAATTCATTTCAAAATCAGAAAACAGACAAGAGTTTTCCTGGGGCTAAAAACTGGGGGCTTTGGGTATCTGAGGATGAATAAACTTACTTGATTGGGCATTCTTCCAGCCTAATACATTAGTACTGCTACAGTAAAGTTAAATGATTAAAAAAGTGCACATGTTCCATAACTTTTCAAAAGTCAGTCATCACAAAGAAATAAAATCTAATGCAAATTTCAAGTGAATTATATCCAAACTGTATTCTGTAAACATTCTAAAATCAACTCCCCACATCTACATTCTATTTACAGTTAATCAAACTACTGATCCTTGGTGTCAGCCCTTTGAGATAGGCCAACCCTTTCAGGCAGTGTCAGAAAACAGGCACTGCAGGGATTCCAGGAATCTACTTTATTGTTGTAGGATGTATTAACAGAATCTTGAAAACTTGCCCAAAACTTTCACCACCCTCCTTTAAAGACAAAAAGGTCATGGTGGGGCTGTTCTGAGTTTCTTTCTCATACTTCTTACTTTCCCAGGGCTGAGTAAATGTTACACCTCTCCCACCTCCTTCTCAATACCTGAGCTAAATTCCTCCACACTTCGGCATGCCAGCATGGACTACTTTCAAAAGTTGCATTGCAGTTATTCAGAAAACCATCACATGTCAGTTTGTATGTACCATTTTTCCATTGGTAGAGCTTATTTGTCTATTAAAGTTTTTAAACATTAAGTGGGCTAGGCTTTCTTTGGGTACAAATAAATACATTTAAGTGAACAACACATACAAAACCCAGATAGCCAGATACATAATATAAAAACATAGAAGCTTCTGTTCTTTTGTATTTTATTCCCAAAAAATTAGCATAACAAAACTATCCATAAATGTTAATAACTCAAGTTTCATTACTTACTTAATAGGATAGGTTTCATCTTTCCTCCTTTTGTTTTCATGTTCAGGAAGAGATTCCCAGCCAAAGGATAAACTCCAGTCAAAATTCCCTCTGTTATGGTTTTGACCATAAGGAGAAGGTTTATTAAACTCAAAAGTATTGAGATCAATAGAAGAAATATCAGGGCTTACAACACAAGTATAATTTTCAGCTATTCTGGCTAGTAAAGGCTCTAGCCATCCATAAAAACATTCACCTAAAAGACAGAAATTAGCATACAGTTTTTCCATATACACAAGAACACTTCAAATACACTGCAGCTGTAAATACGATTTTACTCCCTGGAAATTATTTTTAAGTACAGTTCCACAGGACATTTTTTATCAATTTCATAAGTATTTTTGACAGTTTGTAAACAAGCATCATTAAGTACCACTAAAATATGTATGGTCAAGGGAAAATATAAGGGGTTTTAAATAGTTTTCCTAGCCTGAAAGTTATTCAAAAGAAAAGAATTAAACTAAATGTGTCTGCAGCCAGATAGAGAAATAAACATTGTAAAAAATACTGAAATTCTTAATTAACCCTGTGAATAAGCCAAATTAATGCCATTCTTGATTCTTCAGCTTTCATATTTAATTCAATACACATTTTGGTAAATAATAGCCAAAGTGTAAATGAAGGCATAAACAAGTGCAAGAAAAAAGATTTACACAGACGTAGACAAATTCTAGATTCCTCAATGTTAACAATATTGCTTTAATTTAGTTTTAAGTAAGAAAATGGAAAACTAAACCTGTGAATAAACTCAGGTGCTTCTCTGAAATCAGCAGAGTCTAATTTCTTGCTCAACTGCAGTTCTTTTAACAGCATATATATCCATCAACTGCAGAAAATTATCCAGAGTTTCAAAAGTTGTCCTAGGGAAACTCCACAAATTAATTTTAAAGAAGCAGCTGCATTTTCTTTTCATCTTTCTTGCCCTATACATTTTACAAGTAGCCAAGTCTAAGTCCAGAGAACTGGAAATACAAAGCCTTTGCCTATTACATAAAGGTAAGCAAACAAAGTAGTAAGATTCAATTACTCATTTTGTTTCCTCACACTCAATTTTCTTGTCAAAAACCTAAGTACTCAAAAGAAAATTGAACACTTCTATTACAGGTTAGGTTTGTTTCTTATTTCTCATGATCACTGGGAGGGATTTTGAATTAACTGAGAGGAGCATTAAATATTAAAAAATACTTTTCAAATACTGTATACTGTTGTTTAAAATTTAGTGATCACAGCTAGGAGAGAGGAAATAATAAAGAAAAGCAGGACTTAATATTCCTTTTTAGGTGCTTGGGGAATGAAAGGGCCAGTTAGGAACTGGTATTTGCTCTAGGCAGGATATCCCATTCTTTCCCACTTTTAAAAAAAATCAAATTAAGTCTCAGTATTCTTCAATGTGTGCTGATCCCTTCTACTTGTACCTTAACAAAACTGCTTTGGTTAAATTCTGGCAGTATTCACTAGTTCTTTTTGGTACTAAAAAGTGATATTGGTTTAACCTTTATTCTGAAAAGACTGAGCTCTGCAGGTGCTTGGAAGCAAGCTGTTCTTGAATTTTAAACATGCAAGGAAGTGGGAGCCTGCTGTTATTCAAGGAAAGAAAAGTATTCTGCACAATTTCAGAGATGTTTTTCTTTCCATATTCCAAGATTTGGTCCTGAGACTGGAAACGTATTCCTGGTCAGAGTTCATAAAAGTTTTAGAAGATCTGATGGAGAAATCACTTCTAACAAGTGAGCAGTCAGCAGTACCTGACATCTTTAGGTGTTGCTAGACAGGCACGAATGGTTCTGCAGAAGGGTAGAGAATACTTGTGTTTTCTAGTCATGATCATAATACCATTTACTTGGCACTGGTCTTGGTTTTATTCTAATGGGTAGAAACAGGGTGAAGGAAAAAAATATACATATGCTCATAAGTATTCTTACCAAACTACTATTTCTAACAATTCTCCGCCATGAATTCACTTATTGTACTGATTTAGAATTGGCCACTTATTGCAATTCTTCAACTGTAAAACAGGACCAATGTATGTGAATTAACTTGGGTTTGGGGGTTACCTAGGGGTAATTGCTTGCCTTTACATTTGCATGTAAATGTAAATTATAAATTGTGTTTGTGCTGCAACTAATTCTGAATTATGCTATATACAATAGTATACTATTGCACACTAGGCTTATCCTGCTGGGATGCTGCCTTCAGCTCTCTTCAGAAGTGTACAGCCCAAGTTTTGAAATGCTAAATAATGTGTTATGATGGCAACTTCTAAATGTTCTTAAGTTTGAGAAATAGCTTGTTAGATGATGCAGTGGAGGAATGGAATTCCAAAGCTTCTGTGTTCTCAGTTCCTGTGTAGCACTATAAATCCCAACCAGAGTATGCATTTGCATGCCAGATTTTATGATGTAACCCCACATATTTAAACACCTACTGAGAAGCTAACTTTGGCTTTTAAGAAACAAAAAGCTACTCCCCAACGGGATGAGAAATGTCATCTGCAGTGTTTCAATTAAATTAAGAAAACATAATCCAGAAGGAAGTCACATAAATACTATTGATTTACTGTATTTTATCATGTTTTTCACAACACTATTATTCCTTAATATTTTTTTAAGGTTCAGTAGGGACATGCAGCATGTTTTGAAGCTGAAACACTTTGACTTCAGAATATTCATTCCAACCTGGAAATGGGCCATTCTGAGTTCACCAGAAGTACAGTAACTTGATCCTGAAATGAGCTGTACTAGTTTCCCTAGGTCAGTGCAGCCCAATTTTAGATTACAATGGAAATCCAAAGACAAAATAGGATAATCTGGTCTCAGATTACTTTGTGCTTCTCTAGTGTTCAGTCAGCTATCTAGACATACTTACAGTGTGCATCCAAAAAAGTGAGGGTTTCCCCGGTAGCTACTGAAGCACCTAACAACCGAGCAGTGATAAGCCCCTTTCTTTCCTTTTGTCGGACAACTTTAACTATTTGGAATTGTTTCACATAATCATCTAGTTTATCCTGCAAGTAGTCTGAAAAGGGAACAAGTCAGTATCTGTACCTTTAACAAAAACAACATTAAAGTTTACTTGTTAGGCTCAGCTCTTCAGTAAAGAAAACTAAAAATATAATATTTAAATGACCATGGTTACAGTTCTAAAAGCTTCCATATCATTTGATTATTAAAAAATGAACAAGTGACCAAACAAGTACCATCTTAATTCAGCAAAACATCTACTAACATCTATTAGTAAAGTTAAGCTTTGGCTAATTATTATGCTTTTGGAAAAAGTGATCCATATATATAGTTGGAGTCAAATAAACATTATTTTCTATTATTTTAAAGCAATTTGGCTTTACAATCAATTCCTTTATAATTGAATTAAAGGTTAGCTCATCTTGACTTAAAGACTAAGGCCACTGCTTTAAAACCCTTGAAAGAGAGTAAGTTGTTGATGAAGAACATAGTCTAAGAAAGCTGTTCTCAATATGGATTACTCATATATACTTTCTCACAATTCTCCAGTACCTCTGAAGGCAGCAGGAACCAACCTTAATATCTACCCAAAAATGTGTATCGCATTTATCATTCATTCAGGGCAATAACATTCCACCAGGTCCTACACAGGCACTGTTAGAATATTATGCAATTGCATGAATGGTTGTGGCAGTGTCATGTAAAAAGAACACTGAATCAGCAACAAAATGAGCTGCTCTAATCAGAATGATGCTTTTAGAAGACAAAAGAAAAAAGCTGGAAAAAGGACAGCTGATATACAAGGTAAACAGCTACTGATTAACAAGACAAAGGGTCACATCTTATGCCATATTCTACTAAGTATATGATTAAACATGTAACATCAGCTAGTTTTTCCTTTTGAAAACCAAAAAAGATATTGCTGGTTAGCTTAGAACCAAGATGGATAACTTGTTGCCCACATATGCCCACCCATCTCCTTGTTTGCAGTATGGAGTTTCCCCACAATTCTATGAATGGCTTCAGTTACTGGTTAGGTGAGGGCAGAAAGAATGTGCGTCCTGTATTCTGACAATGTGTTAAGCCCTCAATCAGCCAGCAGTGGTTTTTGTAGGGGAACCACCAGGATGAGTTGATGCATTCTATTCTTCAACATGAGCTTAGGTAAGTGTAACATGCAAAGGAAGTCTGTGACTTAATTCAGATACATCCATCTTTAAGCTTCTAAATGTAAATATGTCTAAATATGATTTAGAATTCCCATCTTTATTTTGCACCCACCAAGGAACATCTTCATTAATAAAAGTGTTCCTGTCTTTATAGCATAGCAGCCCTTCAAGACAGAGCAATAGCTAGAAGAGTTATTTATCAGGTCTGGTATCACATCAAGCATTGTATGAAACCAACTAATCCAACCATACTCTTAAAACTCTTTCAGCACATTATTTCCAATTCTAATTTGATCAATTTAGACCTAGATGTAAACTTCCTTAACCATAATTTGACTTGGATTGAACAGAGCCAAAAAGAAAACACACACAAAACTAAATTGAGCTTAAAATTATATGTGGATGTATCTGCACTGTATATTAATTTAGGTACAGTAGGTGAGAGGTGGGGATTTCATCCCTTGAAAGGGTTGTCCCTTCATTATCAAAGAAAGTAAAATGTGTATATTTCCAGGATATATTAATTAGAAAAAACTAAATATGAAAAAAAATCTACAGCCCATAGATGGCATCTTACCGTCTACACTGGCATCATCCACCAAAATTATTTCCTTCAATAATATTGCAGGGGAAGTATACATCACACTAAAAACTGTTCTCAGAAGAGTTGACCATGCTTCATTGTGAAATACTATGATAACACTTGTAGTAGGCAATGGAGGGCAGCGTTTAAACTTCTGCTCAATACATCTAGAGGATAAAACCATAGTGAACAAAATATGAATCACAAATGTCAGGTCTTGATACTCTGGCATGGCACAGATAAAACACTGTTAACAAGCTTGGCATGTGTGGTTGAACTATTTAACCCTTGCTTTCAAAGCCATGCAAAGGAACCATCATGGCACAGGTATTTCCTAACATAATTCTAACAATAAAGTGATAATCTATGTATCACATTGTGAGAGGAATATAAAGATTTAAAATAATTGCCCACAAAGCTGTATCATAATTAACTTGTTTAAATTTACAATAAACAGAAGACATCTAGCGCTGGAAAATCATGTTAGTAAGAGTGATGGCTGCTTTCTTGCTTCATCAATGTATTCTAAATACAGTGGGGCAAAAAAGTATTTAGTCAGCCACCAATTGTGCATGTTCTCCCACTTAAAAAGATGAGAGAGGCCTGTAATTTTCATCATAGGTATACCTCAACTATGAGAGACAAAATGGGGGAAAAAATCCAGAAAATCACATTGTCTGATTTTTAAAGAATTTATTTGCAAATCATGGTGGAAAATAAGTATTTGGTCACCTACAAACAAGCTTTTCTGAAGTAATTATTTGGTGATAGCAAATAATGCATCTAAAAATGTTAAGAAATCTTGAAATAAATTTATATGGGATTAGAGCACTTCCATATACAGTGGGGCAAAAAAGTATTTAGTCAGCCACCAATTGTGCATGTTCTCCCACTTAAAAAGATGAGAGAGGCCTGTAATTTTCATCATAGGTATACCTCAACTATGAGAGACAAAATGGGGGAAAAAATCCAGAAAATCACATTGTCTGATTTTTAAAGAATTTATTTGCAAATCATGGTGGAAAATAAGTATTTGGTCACCTACAAACAAGCTTTTCTGAAGTAATTATTTGGTGATAGCAAATAATGCATCTAAAAATGTTAAGAAATCTTGAAATAAATTTATATGGGATTAGAGCACTTCCATATACAGTGGGGCAAAAAAGTATTTAGTCAGCCACCAATTGTGCATGTTCTCCCACTTAAAAAGATGAGAGAGGCCTGTAATTTTCATCATAGGTATACCTCAACTATGAGAGACAAAATGGGGGAAAAAATCCAGAAAATCACATTGTCTGATTTTTAAAGAATTTATTTGCAAATCATGGTGGAAAATAAGTATTTGGTCACCTACAAACAAGCTTTTCTGAAGTAATTATTTGGTGATAGCAAATAATGCATCTAAAAATGTTAAGAAATCTTGAAATAAATTTATATGGGATTAGAGCACTTCCATATACAGTGGGGCAAAAAAGTATTTAGTCAGCCACCAATTGTGCATGTTCTCCCACTTAAAAAGATGAGAGAGGCCTGTAATTTTCATCATAGGTATACCTCAACTATGAGAGACAAAATGGGGGAAAAAATCCAGAAAATCACATTGTCTGATTTTTAAAGAATTTATTTGCAAATCATGGTGGAAAATAAGTATTTGGTCACCTACAAACAAGCAGTTGATTTCTTCACACCAAGCTGCTTGCCTATTGCAAATTCAGCAGTTGATTTCTTCACACCAAGCTGCTTGCCTATTGCAAATTCAGGGAGAACTTGCACAATTGGTGGCTGACTAAATACTTTTTTGCCCCACTGTATATGGAAGTGCTCTAATCCCATATAAATTTATTTCAAGATTTCTTAACATTTTTAGATGCATTATTTGCTATCACCAAATAATTACTTCAGAAAAGCCACATGTGCTATACGTACAGATGTAAAAATTAGTAGATAGCAATTATTCTAGTAACAGTAGTCACAGATCACATCTTAATATAGAAATGAAGGCTCAAAATACTCTTTCAGTATTTTACATATTTTAAATAAAGACCAGAATATTTGCTTTCAAACCCAAATACATTTCAACATACTCAGGAGGTCGTGTGTCTGGTCCTAGATCTCGATGTAAAGAAATCCTGTCACTTGCAAATGCATTAAAACAGTGCTTTTCTTCACCATGCTCTTTCTCCTGCTGTTCCTCTGGGCTTAAACTGGTCATTCTGAATGCTTTACCAGAAGCCCCTGGCATATTAGGATCTTGAGGGGGACGGTCAAGGTAAGGAGTCAGTTCAGCAGCTGTATAATATCCTGGTAAACAGTGCTTCTGTCCAGCATTCTGAGTCTGCCTAATAGGTGCTTTAATTTGCATTTTTGGTTTTGCAGCTTTAATGTTGTTCACAGCGTTTAACACTAGATCTAATACAGTTTTCTTTTCATCATGAGATGGCATTCCTGGTTCTTCATTAAATTCTTGAACACCTACTTCTCGTTGTAACAAAACCAAAAATATTAAGAAGACAAAAATAATGAAGGTAAACTTCCAAAGTTTCTTCTGGGAAAACTGTTTCATTATGAAGCGCCTTAGCATTCTTATGTAAGTCATCATGGAGAGTCCACATATAGAAGTGCTTCAAATAATGTTCTTTCTTTTAAACAGAGAAGTTCACAAAATGGTAAAACCTGCAAGATTTTTTAAAATGTTAATAATACTTACAATGTACGTTTACCCATACAAGTAGTTGTAATTATTTAAATGAATAAGAATAAAAATCCACAAAGTAAGGTACTACATTTCAGGGTTGCTGAAATCATGTTCCTTTTCTAAATTTATTACAGCATTTGAATCCCCTAAGACCCTCATTAAATACACCTGCCAACTTATTTCTGCCCCTTAAGCTACTTTCTTTTACATCTATTAGATCAGATCTTCTACAAGTTTTAATGATTAGCCATTGATAACCCTTTGGGGCTATGGATCTCAAGGAAGTTCACAACATTGTTATGGCAAATTGCGTCCCTGAAACAGGCAGTTCAAACGTCAAAATGAGCCATTCTGTTTTGGAAGTGTTCCAACTTTGAAATAGGTACTTCTTCCATTCTGAGTGCTTTGGATTTCATCCAACTTTAAAATGGCCCTTTTCTATCAATGCCTGTTTCTAAGATGAATCACTTCTGGAACATTCAGATGGCCCATTTTGGAACTAAAATGACAAAATGTTTTGCACATCCCTAGTTAAATCTCCATTTTCTCTTTCAGTACCCTATATGCATTATCACCTATGTTTCAGAACCATTTTTACACCTTTGAATGGTTTGAAGACCTTTGCAAATAAGATTAAGAAAACCATTTTCACAATCTCCCTACTGGCAGCAAATCATTTCTATTTGAAGAAACATCCATATTGAAATAGCAGTGAAACATATTAAGAGAGTACCACCCAAATGGCAAAAGTTATACTTTAATTAGAACCACTGCATTTTTCTTTTTTAAATGTAAGTTCTGCTTGTATTTTTGATTGCCAGATAGGAAAAGAAAAAGCTGTAGTTGCAGTTTTAAGCAACAGATTATTTATATCCAGTTGTATGCCACTTGAGAGGACAGAGAAGATAAGCTGCACTGCAATGTTATGCATTTATTTGACATGGTAGCAATTCTAATTTTCCAGATGGATGGATACTTACCAGTATGTCTCTCACATTATTTCTGAATTTGTTTGCTATCTCCTAGGCACTTTCCTTTTGGAGAACAAGAACTATGCCTAAATCAGAGTAGTAAGTAACACTTATTATTTGATAACCATCTTGCTCAGTCAGATATTAGAGATGATCGCTCATGTAGCAATGAAAAAATGCTTGCTCTACAACAGATGTGTGCTAGTCTTTCAGCCATATGCCTCATGCAAGATTGGCAATCCTGTGTCTTAAAACTGTTTCACATATTAGTTTTTGTACAGCAAAAAATTCACCAAAATGTGTATACCATTTACTATAACCAAATTACTCTGAGAGTTGCCCAATAGGTATATACATAAAGAAAAGAAAATTTGTACCACCCTTCAGTATTATAATCCATGTTAAGTCTCTTAAGAAATTATTAACATGTAGGAGAATTCTAGTTCAGGAGAGGCAGAGCCATATCAGCAAAGTAAAGTATCTTATGTTAATTTATTCAGACTTGATAGATTAAGTTCCAGCTAGGACAAAACAAAGCTCCAGACATCCTAGCCATAATACTTTTTTTGCAGAAATTTCAGCATTATAAGCATTTTATGTCAATGTTTACCTAATTCTGCATGTTTATTAACTCTGCCACTGAATAATAGTTGCTACAGAAACATGCAACCAAGATCATCCTTTAACTTAAAACTTAAGACAAACATACATCATCACTGCTATAAATTTCGTCCACTATCACAAGAGTAAAGGCACTTAATTAAAAAATAAAGTTATATAAAGAAATGTTAAAATATATAACGAGAAATATATGATTAAAAAGTTTTGGTTATTGGGAAAGACCACAAGGGATACATTAAAGCAGTAATTAGTTAATAACTAATTAGTTACAATTATTTGTATGCTACCACCTTGAATGACACTAGGCAGTTATAATCCAATAAAAATATCCATAGAATTCAAAATATTAAAATATCTATAAAACTGAAAATGCTAAAATTATTAAATCTAAAATACTTTATAAAAAACTAATTTTGTAAACTCATTCCCCCAAACCCTTGCAGAAGTAGAAAGTTTTCAACTGCTTCCTAAAGGATAAAACGGTGTGGATCAGCCAAATCTCAGAGGGTAAGCTGTTCTATAGCAAGGACCTTGCCACTGAGAATGCTATTTTTTTTAGTTCCTACAACTCTGATCTCTCTGGGAGTGCAATATTGCCTCTTGAACAACTAGGTAGACCAAGCAGATTCTATATGAAGAAGATGGTCCTGAAGGTAACAAGGGCACAAGCTACACCAGCATTTTGATATCAGACCCTAGCCCAGCAGATTACGTCTTCCAGTGGTTTCATGTAGAGATTGAATAAAAAATAGGGGGGGGAAGGGCAGACGGCTAAGCCCCGGGACAGTCAAACTGTAATGACTAAAGGCTCAATGTTTCCTTTCCCAAATAAAACTGACTGAAACTGCCTGCTCAGGAAAAAGCACAAACAAAGCACAGCAATGTTTCCAATCCTCAATCCTTGCAGGCCATCCAAAAGGATACCATAGTCAGTGGTACAGACTATGTATTACTTTATCTATTGGAGTGACAAAAGATGTACCTTCTCCCTCCTCATTCACCACAGGTCATCCACAAGAGTTACCAATACATGAATCCTGACTGAGAGGGGCTGAAATAATCCATCTCATCCAGGATACTCTGTAGCTGGAATCCAACCATCATCTCAACAACTTATTCAGAAATGGCAGGTTGGACAAATACAGATTCCATTTAAACCAGAATTATTCCTGCTGGGGATAATGGATTTTCAAATA